GACCGGAGGAAGGATAGCAGGCGCTTCTGGAGGCATCCTTCTTTATATATTTGGTCATTATGTACGGCTTACTGAATTTACCGCACCCACTTCTTATTCCGGAACATCCAGGCGGGACTTGCCGATGAAAAACACCAGGTCGAAGATCTGCTTGACGTCCGCTTTGATGTAAGTCTCATCGTCCATTACGATGAATTTCGGCTGCACCAACCACTCGCGGTAGAGCTTCCTGGCCCGGAATGTGGTCACCGTATTCTGTTTATCGGTTCGGTTAGGTGCCTTCCTTACCTTGAAGGCATGAAGTCTGACCCGCTTTATTGTCTGCTGGACGAACCAGACGGAAGAATTTACCTTCAATAAATATAGTAGTTCGTCTGCCTCCTTCATGGCAGGACGTTCAAAACCACTGTCTTTTATTCAGACATCCGTAAACACAACGTAGGAAAAGTTCTGCCCGTGCGCGATCATAATGATGCCGAGACCAGCCGTTCGATACGCGTGGGCAACGCTTTATCATATTTCGATGTGATTGTCCTTTCCGTTGCAATTCCGGAGAAACATTTCTTAGTGCATCGGCATCAACTCTGAGGATTCTTCTTCCCTCCCAGCTACGATGGTGTGGCCACCAAGGTAGCCATCTAGCAGAGCATGTTCGCTCTTGGCTCATCGTAAACCGCAGGATTCTTGACCGAGAAACATGCTATGTGATCACTGCAGTGTCATCAGTTTATTATACGGACGAACAATACATCGAACCAGCAAAAGAAAGATCACAACAGAAGCCGTTTTACCCAGTTTGCCTACGCTGTGGCAATATTGATGATTTATTGCCCCCGACAATGCATTGACAAATGTTTTAGAATAATTCTAGTTTTTTTTTTTTTTAATATCTTGTGTAGTACCAGCTGTGTGTTGTATTATATCCCAATACACTATCAATAAATATAGTAGTTCATCTGCCTCCGTCATGGTAGGACGGTCAAAACCACTGTCTTTTATTCAGACATCCCTGAACACAACGTAGGAAAAGTTCTGCCCGTGCGCGATAGTTATAAACAAAAGAAAAGGTTGCATTTTTTTCGAGTACAATTTTAGGGTATCGTATGTTGGATTTTGACCCATTTCAAAAACAGGTCACTTTCCAGTGGTTCATAAAACTTTGCCAGATATGGCCAGTGTGGTCCTGGGCACTTCAAATGGCTACCATAGAACTGCATTTTGAATTCTCAGTTCATCGATTCTAAAGATATTCATAAGTGTTCTATAAGCTATGAAAACTTTCATTTGGTGGTTGTTGCGTCCAATTCTGTTCATTGGTTGTTGATAAATACGGCGTGTTTTTTTTCAGATCCTGTTACGTTCAGATCTCCGAAACCAGTTGACGGATTCCAAAAAGATGCGAAACTTTCTATGAAACCATGTAACCTTTCATTTGGTGGTTGTCGCGTCCTCGAGCTAAGTCCAAATGACAAAATGACAAGAGATTAACGAGCTGAACGATAAAGATGTCAGCAATTGAAAGCAATAATGATAGAATCTTCTTATTTTTCGTGAAAAACGGCCTTTGTAATATAGCTCACTCGGGCCGGTAGTAGGAAACAACCAAATTGTTGGCAAGCTGCTTCACGCAGAAAAGCCGAAGGTGATACGCGTGTGTTAGTGGATTTTTTTTAGCTATGTCTTTTCTCGATTGCGATCATACCAACCGGTGGAAACTAACGATTTTTCAATTGGCTCACTACTTGACTAGCCTATTGGTCCCAGGCAAATCGATTAGCGTACCCCATTTCAGTCAAAATTCTAGCACTACACTATCTTTGTTTTGATTCGCTATGAAAGTTTGACAGATAAAATGAGGGGTTCGTGGATTTTCCTATGTTTCGAGGGGTGCATCGATTAGCTTGGGACCGAAGAGAGTACCAGAGCTGAGCCAAATAGTTGAACACGTTTCTTCGGGACATTCTTGACTTAGAGTAACCTCTATGATCATACTATGTCTTCAACCATGTAGATTGCAACAAAGCAGGCAAGCAATATATCATAATCCTTCTACCACTCCGATCGAGGTGTGTTGTTGTGAGAGTTTGTAGCGTTAGTCGTAGCAAGCGTTTTGTCTTTATCGTGTTTGGATTCGCTGAAAATATCACATCCTAGGTTTACTTTCTTATCCGAGGGCCTCACTCAGCTCAGTCGATATAGGTGCAACTATAAAGGAAGACCACGCTGGAGGCAGCTAGGTTCGATTGCCAGTCAGGTCTAGAAATTTTTCATGTTGAAAAATTTCTTGAGTTCCTATGCATAGAGTAAAGTCTGGAACGCGCAAAAATTGGTCAACTTCAAATTGATGTATTTCTGTTAAAAATGCATTAATAAACTCTAAAATGCTGCATTTGGAAGTTGAGTGTATATTCAATTGTTGCTATGATGATTTTTCACCGTTTGCTCTCCAGTTTCCAAAATGATGTCCAAGCAAGAGGAGCAGCGTGTCAAAATTTTGCTCGCGCAGCAAGATAATCCGACATTCCCGCACGCCAAGTTGGCAAAATTGCTGGATGTGGCCAAATTGACAGTGATAAACGTTTTAAAAGTGTTCGGGAAGCGTCTGTCGACCACCAGGAAGCCTGGAAGCGGCGGCAATCGTAATCCGAACGGGATCCTTACCTCTCCATCCGGGATGTCGCTGGCAAGCTCAATGTCTCCCATACTACTGTGCAGCGGGCCATGAAACGAGCCGGGTTTGTCAACGTTTGAGAAGGTGAAGGTGGTGAACCGAGATTACAAACAAAACACGTCGGCAAAGCAGCGGTCCCGAAAGCTGTTTACGAATCTGCTCACAAAGTTCGACTGTGTCGTCATGGACGACGAAGCTTATGTGGAGGTGGATTTCAAGCAGCTTCAGAGACAGGAGTTTTATACTGCATCAAGAAAAGGGAAGGTGGCTGAAATTTTCAAAACCATCAAATTATCAAAGTTCCCGAAAAAATATCTCGTCTGGCAGGCCATATGTACGTGTGGTCTAAAAAGCGGCGTTTTCATTACTACGGGAACCATCAATCAAGAGATCTACGTACAGGAGTGCCTGGAAAAGCGGCTGCTACCATTCCTAAAGCAACATAATATACCTGTTCTGGCCGAACTTGGCGAGCTACCACTATGGGAAAAAGGCAATCGAGTGGTACGATGCGAACAACGTAGTTGTGGTACCCAAAGACCACAACCCTCCCAACAGCCTAGAACTCCTATCAAACGGTATTGGGCCTTGGTCAAACGGAATCTAAAATAAACTAATAAATCCATGGAAAACGAGCAGCAGTTTAAATCTAACCACTGCGCAATATTCAGTGGAAGGGGTTAAGCGGAAGGCACAGCAGTTCGAATTTGGCAAACCAAAAGAATAAAAGAACATTTGTTCCTTTAAACATATGTATTGAACTACCAAAAGAAAAATACGAAGATTTTTGTGATATGAATTTTGACTGAAAGAAACGATTTTTGTGTCGACTAATTTTTGCGCGTCCCAGTCTTTATGATCGTACTTACCACACAATCATACTAAATCAAAAATAGTACAGGCTTAGAAAGCTCTCAATTAACAACTGTGGAGTTGTGAGCCAGCGTAAAGTCCCTGTGGGAGCGTAATAAAACAAAAGAAGACGATGAGCTTTCCTACATCAACTTTGATGCTACAAACTTTGCAACTGTTTACTTGACGATTAGTTTTTATAATGAGATTTCGCGGGATTTCCAGTATGCTGTATGTGATTGGTTTTGACGGCCCTAGCAGATAAGTAGTTTAAAAAAAAACCATTACAGACGTAAGTAATAACATGCAAAATTATGTACGTGAAAATAACAGTAAACATTCTTGCCCATCTGTTTTCCAACATAATTTTGTTATTGAATTATTTCGTTGTTCAACTTGCTTCAACCATAGAGGTAAAGCTAATAACAGAAGGTCTTGAAGAAACATGCTCAACTTTTTAACTCAGCTCTGGTGCTCCCTTCGGTCCCAAGTTAATCGATGCACCCCTCGAAACATAGTAAAATTCACGAACCCCTCATTATATCTGTGAAACTTTCATAGCGAATCAAAACAAACATAGTGTAGTACTAGAATTTCGACTAGAATGTGGTACGTTAATCGATTTGCTTGGGACCAATAGGCTAGTCAAGCAATAAACCAATTAAAAAATATAGTGTTCAAACATGGATGCTCCACGGTGGATTCAATTTGATGAAATGTTTAGAATACGTTTGATATTTTGGATGACATTCGATTGATTTAATTGACACATAATTTGACTTCTCTTCTATTCAGGGCTGATAATACAGTTTGTTCCGTCTTGAAGCATACCATCAAAACAAATATACCACCATCATAGCAAGTTATGACCATCCTAACAAGTATAAATTGTCCTAAATGTTTCAATAGATTTAAATTGAAATATAGATTCACAAATTAACCTAACCCGAAACAAACTCCCAAAATTTTCATCAGAATGATTTATTACTCCCAATATTACCTCCACATCCTGTCCTTTTAAAATTCTGTGTAAGTAAAATGTTGCATGTACGTTAACGGTAGCATATCAACTAAGAAATTTCACCCCTTTTATCCAAACAAGCACTGAGTGCCGAAATACGTGCTTGCAGTAAACCGTTAAAAGCTAAACGTCTCATTCGTAAATTATTAATCACGCTGTGAACTCTCAATACGCATAGGTCCCCCGCACCGAAAACTATCTGCTCATGTTATGAATCCGGGGTAAATACCGAATGCGAAACCCAGCCAGCCGCACTATCTTTCATTATCTGAATTTAAAATTCAATTTATTATAAACAATAAAGATTACGAATTCATGAGATTCACTTGGATTTAAATGGGAAGAAAGATTAAAATCGGTTTGTCTTGTTGCTCTTAAAAGAAGAACAATTCCTACATGATAAGGTAATTGTGATTAACTTTCTTCCTTTTGCTCTCTTGGCTCTTCTCCAAACAGTGATCATCAAACCCCCTCGGAACCGACGACTCGATCTCCCAACGAAAACCTGACCTTCAGCATATCGAGGTTACTATCGAAACCATACGACAGCCACAAAGACAAGGACATTTCGGAGGATAGCGATAGTCAAAAAAACGAGAACCACATTTCTGCCGCCGGACTTCAGTATACGGCCGGCGCTCTCTACAGCTATCCAATCTACCCACCCAGTCATGTGCTACGAGTGCCTCCCCAACGGGGACCCTGCAATCCACTGTCCTGGTCGCTGCCTCCGCTACATCCGGCTGCACTGGCCCACCAAGCCGTCAAGGACAGACTAGCCGGTGAGTAAGCGTGCGCGCTCCCTATTATTATTATTGACACTAATTGACTATGGCATCGCCGTCGCCAAAGCACCGATCTTGGTAACTTTGTTGTATTAAGGCGACTGGTCCCTCTTCAACTTTATAATAATTTCCGGTGTGTTTCAAGATTTGAATCTCCGAAAAAGGTGTGTTATTTTTGATCTTCCAAGATTGTTAACTAGCAAGGTGAGACACTCTAGTTGGGTCACGACATAATAAAATCGAAACACTGATGCAAACGGAGACGCAAACCAAGCTATCAATTTCAACCGTTTACCAACACGACATCATCGTATTGCCACCGGTAGCAGCTAAGTTGCTCTCAAAAGTGTCTATGACTGCTGATGACGTTAATTGAGGCCTCTGGGTGAACTGTGTTCGGATGGTATTTTTTTTCTGCGTTTAGTTTTACACTTCAAGACGTTTCACCTAAAAACATAAATTTTAAATTATTTTTACTTGAAAGTGCGAGCATTATTCAATGTGCTACGTATGTGATCATTCCCTAAATTCGTTACATAACAGTATGAAAGCTGCAGGAAAAAGCTGCCCAAGATTTAAACATATCTATTTTCAAACCGACATTCCAGATAAAGAATGTTTTAATTTATTATCGTGACAACTATATTTAACCATATTTTATATGAATGATAAAACACATAACCGTCCCCCAAATTCCATTGCACACGACATCAGTTTTTTCATATATATTTTTTTTTCTCTACTGAATGAAAATTGACCGCCTGACATTCCTGACCCATCGGAACAAGATTATTAGCGAGAATTAAGACGACCTCCCGAAATCCTTAATAACAGGTATAAGAACGGAACACTTCAAACATGTCCCAAAATTCACATAATAGGATCTTCCTCTTGTGTTTGACCCTATACTTTATACAATCAACAAAGCGTGCGCGATCATTTTCTTCTTTCTCTCACTCTCAGCAATATATGATGTTGTTCCTTTTCGTCTCTGGTCTGGTGTGGTGTCAGTGTGGGTGCGGATGATGTTAAATTATAGGGTTTTTATCATCGACTTGCCGAAGCTTTGCGGAAACCTTCTGTTACTTTTTTTTTGTATACAGCCTTCAGCAGCAAAGTAGACTTCATTTTTTGTGACAGCTATATGAACAGCCGATACCAGCTGTTCACCATCTCGTGACAAGCCGTTGAAACATGAAAAGTTTTCTACTTGACGGTTAACGACTGTTTTGACGGAGATGGATTTGGTAGTGTCTTCAATTTATTCACACAGCATTCTACATCGAAACTACCCAGTAGAATTCTTACCTGAACACATACTATCAAAATCAAAGTATTTCAGGAATGACTCAGCGTCCAAACAGTTGATCACTGGCCAGACATTTTTATCTCTCCTTCGACAACACAACCTATTAATTTCAATTAACGTCAAACGTAAATGATTGGCTTTCCAAAGATGCTACGGGAAGAGGAATGTGTTGACAAATTTTTAGTTCTGCCTCACTGCCACCACACGAGATCATTCAATCCGAGACAAAACAAACAGAACAAAACGGACCACTGAAGCAAGCAGAGCAGACAAGAGCATTTGGGTTATCACCTAGTTGCCGAACAAGTTTCCGCACTTAAAAGATTTGGACGCCGCCCGGAAAACACGGGTGGTATCGGTTCATCGAATGGTATCGGCTCTTGTCTTTTATTTTCCATTCATGTTATTCGTCTGGCTCTGGTATTTTGTCTTGATTTAGTCATTCATTCATTCAAGAAGTTCAAGACCTCTTACTGGAGGGTTCTGAAAAAATAGAAAAAAGGATAGGTGTGAAAATGTGAAGCCATAGAATTGAATTCTTTCTGAAAGTTTACACCAGCAAAATGAACTGAAATTGATAAGTTAATTTAATCTTCATCTAACGCTGTGTGGAATGGTGAACGTTGTAGTTATTATCGTAGTGGTGTGATAATTATTTAATACTTGAGAGTGAGAGTGTGCCATTTGCCGCGTAAGAATTGATACTACAAGTGCCCCGTTGTCCCGTAACGTGGGTAGATCACCTTTTCGTGGTACGTTACGGGATCTACCACCGATTCCTAGTCCTGACTACTTCAAACTAGGGGAACAGAATTTTTCAGTAATCCAAGGAACACATCTTAGTCCTTGTTAATTTTTATGCCTTGTTGATACTGACAAGACTCGGCTTTGTCCACCGAGAATGATCTTGAAACAAGGAACAAATGAGTTAGTTAGTCTTCATCTATGTGATTCCTTATCTTCTATTCGTTGTTCCCTAGTTTGAAGTGGTTAAGACTAGGGCTCTGATGCATGGTCATTATCGGTGTCATTGTTTAACTTTGTTGCTAAGGAATCCAATTTTGACTGACAAAGGGGCGCGCCTTTGGAGGATGTTTCAACACTCCGAAGGGTATAAAGAGCGGGACCTTTCAATTAGAGTTGCATCCTTGCGATAAATCTAGATAGAGCTGGAATTAGGGCGTAACAGCCTTTGTAAACAATGACTTCTCTCGTTGATTTCTAGGAATTCAAGGCACGCCTACACAAACCAACATATCCATCGGGTAGGGGAAGTCTTCCCCTACTCGATGGTGATGTTGATTTGCCACTGAGAGCCATGGCTTTTAAGAAATCACCGAGAGAAGTCATTGTTTACAAAAGTTGTTACGCCCTAATTCCAGCTCTATCAAGAAATGCGAGAATGACAACTGTAAAAAAAATCGAATACTTCATCATTTCTCAATAGTGATGGATACGACATGTACTAAACTAAGGACACGGGATATAGGGTTAACTATCCCATTTCCGGCCTATTAAGCACAACCCGCAATTAATCTTTCTTAATCTAGCGCAGTTTAGCACCAAACGGAATGTTATTATTACTGATGGCTTCCGTAAGATTTGATAAAGAGAAACCAATCGTTGATATATTTCCAAAAGTCTAACATTGCTTCTTGACGCCAAACTCGGCCTACGGATTCTAAACTCGGCCTAACGCATTGAAACGCCATTGAAACGTCAATGAATTCACTTCGGCCTGTCGGATGAAGATAAAAATTGATTCGTTCGGAGCGCTTCTTTTGTTTTTGGGAATAATGGGTGCAAAACTTCATATCACGCGCTCTCATTGACTGCGTTCGGTAGCTTCCCAACTAACAATTTTCGCAAAGTAAACGCTTTACTCATTTCATTTAAACAGCCTCAAGCTGTATTCAAATGTTATACGATATGAGGAAACCTTTATTCAACCTCTATACAAGCAAATCTGGCGAACTTAGTCAGCTACTTATGGCTGTTGGGACGGTTGGGACAAGCTCTTATTGCATATCCATTAACGCTTATATACAGCTGTTATCCAGCTGTTTAGTTGTGTGTGGACTTGAAAGGCGCTTATTCAGCCTTTTCCCGGTTATCCAATAATCACTACACAGCTTTGTCTTGAAGCCGGATTAAATATTGTCCACGATATTTTTTAATTAAGGAATCTATTGAGTTTATATTTTGCTGTAAATCAAATTAATCCAAATGAGTCACAAGCAACACCACTAAATTATTTACCCTGCACCGGAAATCTCGAATCGAACTCGAGACGACCGCATTGGCAATCCTTGACACTAACAACTGTGCTACGCCAACACTTTGAACTGATGTAAAAAAATCAACATACCCTTCTACAACAAAATCGCTGAGTAGAGGCTTTATAATAGTGTACATGACTCACTTTTATCGACTAGTTACTTCACCTTTGTAAAGGAGCAGAGTAGAAGCTGTAAAACTGCACACGTCTAAAAATAAACCTAGCTGACTGTAAAAATGCGTCCAAAGTAGTGCTAACACAGTTGATTAGCTGAGTACAGGTTGTTTAGTTGTTGAAAAAACACTTTTGATGTTTATGTTATTCAGCAGGAGTAGTTGGTTGTGTAGAAGCCATCAAATGAGTAATATATTCACTTTATTAGCTTTGTTTTGCAGCTACAAGTTGAAAGTTGATTAGGATGTGTATAAAAGTGACATTAGCGTTTATTGGCTGTTGTTATTCAGTGAGATTGGTAAATTGAATAATGGTTGTGAAAAAGTTGAGTAAACGCTCTACAAAACAATTTTGCTAGCTTCTGCTTGTAGCTGTATCTGCAGCTTTTTTCAGCTATTTTACAGCACAACGCTGCAAAAGTTGGCTTACAAAGCAGAAAATGTTAGTTGGGTTATTAACTAAATTATTGTACCATACGCATAATAGACTTTTTAACTCTGAAATCATGGATTTATTTGATGTTTTCTGCTCGATAGGCCCACAATGGGCGAATAGGCCGAAGTAGTTCTCTACCCTACTACAATAGATCAAATTACTGGTCGCAGTGGTGTTAGGTCCCGAACAGAAGAAAAAAAAGTGCCCCGTAGTGATTATTGTCTCATTAAATTTGTTTTTTTAGCAAGTAACAACAACCTTAGCGTGACTAAATGAAGGCCTAATATATGGACAACTCATCGCATATAAAACTTCATTGTGCCTTAATAAGCGCAGAAGGTGGAGTTTCTTTGCAACTTATGTTTGTTGCAAAATATTTTGCAATTCAGTTGCATGTAACATGATGTTTGGATGACACAAGTTGCAAATGAGGTTTCAACTGACTTAGCTGTAATGTTTCACTGAAGCATTTAAAACAGTACAGTGATGCTTTAGAATGCATGTGAATGGCAAACTATTGAAGCATTTCTTGTTTTTATGTTAATGTGGTATGAAACATAAATAACTTGAATATTAAATTCATTATATTTATTTATGGTGGATTACATATGGTTGCCAGTCTTACCAACAGCACTGTAATTGTGCGCATTACGAGTCGGAAATTTCAGTACAACAATATTTATTTGTGGGTTTGGGTGTGTTTGTGTCTGTGATTAATTTTTGGTTTCATTCTAATCGAACGACTTTAGCAGGAAGATGAGTTCTTAAAACTCAAAATTATGCTTAAAAAAAAGTAATAAT